ATGGGGAAGAGTAGCCACACCATCAAAAGAAAGAAGGACCTGAACAACCGGTTTAATGTATCCCCAGCTCTAAATATTAATTTAGACCTAATATGTTCATAAGAACTTGTTTGGAATTAAACTCTCCCAGTCCTCCAGGGAAGAACCAAAATACCCTCTATTCCTCATTAAATCAATGATCAAAGGAAAATAATAGGGGAGAAGTACACCTCTATTAAGATCACAAGTTTTTCTTAATCAAATCGACTTGCAAGGGATTGGGGCCGTTGTGCTTGGTGCCACCACATGTCCAGAAATGTATCAAATATAATACAAATGGATCTGATGTCTTAATTGAAGTGATTCTTGGACTATACTAATACCTGAGTTTCTGATGATGCAAATATCTGAATGTTAGCTGGTACCATTTGGTTGATTTTTGCCTAATAAATATTTTGTCTTCCATAGATGTATTTCCTCAGAGGATCTGTGTTGCCATTTAACCACAAAAGGCAGAATATTAGGAAGTCACTTGGACCTCTATGCACAATGCAGTGGAACCCTTGGCTCTCACTTTTAAGTCTAAGCAATGGACCTGACTAGATACAGAATTATGAATGTTAATTAGTTGCCCAAGGCTCTCTTTTTCTGAACATTTGCATAAAAATTAAAATACTGGTAGTTTTAGGTTTCTGGTACAGAAACCCAATTGAGTTAGCTTCTTATTTGATATGAATATTTGTATTTTCCTGTCCAGAGATGTTTTCTCTGCAACTTATTTATCCCTTTCTAAACAGATAGTTGTGAGAATTAAACAGCAAAACTGCTTTCAACTCTTCCTACCATTTATAAAGGTTAAAACTAAAATCAAATAGAAATACAAAGTAGCACACACAAGTAGCACCAATTGCCTTTTCAGTAATGATGACACACAGTGGAGGAACTTCTGCCTTAAGCTCAATCAGAATAGAGCTGGAAGGGATCTTCAAGGTCTTCTAGTCCAACCACCTGCTCAAGCAGGAGACTATACCATTTCAGCGAAGGTCTAGTGTCTATTTAAAAACCTCCAGTAATGAAGCACCCACAACTTCTGATGACAAGCTGTTACACTGGTTAATTGTTCTCACTGTTAGGAAGTTTCTCCTTAATTCCAGGTTACTTCTCTCCTTGATTAGTTTCCATCCATTGTTTCTTGTCTTGGCTTCTCGTGCTTTGGAGAATAATTTGACCCCCACCTTCTTTGTTGGTAGCCCCTCAAATATTGGAATACTGCTATCATGTTACCTCTAGTCCTTCTTTTCTCTAGACTAGCCAAACCCAAATCCTCCAATCTTTCCTCATATATTTTTGTCCCCAGGCATTTAATCATCCTAGTTGCTCTTCTTTGCACTTTTTCCAAAGTCTCAGCTGGTGGATGCAAAACCAACATTACTAGATGGAACTCATAGATAACTTTTTAAATGGCAGAAGAACCCATCACTGGACATTAGGAAACCTTTTGCATTGTATTTTCTCCAAGTAGCCATGAACAGGTTAAGTACATCTGGATCTCTTGTAGGTTTACTAAGCCTTTATGTTGGTTGCCATCAACAGCAGTTATAAACATTTGACTCACTATAGGCTTAGGGTTAGGTGGTGGTTTGTTTCTTGCATGATAAGAAGGCTGAGCAATATAACTGTGAGGTAGATATATAGGAATTTAAGTTGTATGTTTCCATTTTGGATCAACTATGGAACAAATAAAGTTAAAAGAGCAATGCTTTAACATGAGGATCTGCTTATGGCGGCTCAAGTTTCACCAGAAAAACAGACCCAAGATTTGTGGGTAGCATAGTCTGTTGTCAGTCAGTCTGATTTTTGAGTGGATCCATTTTATTGAGAATTTCTTACCAAAGATTTAAGAACTGCTGCAATAGTCAAGCTGCAGGTCACAGTGCTGAAGCATATGTAAGAGCTGAGGTGGCGCAGTGGTTAGAGTGCAGTACTGCAGCTACTTCAGCTGACTGCTAGTTCAGCAGATCAGCAGATCAAATCTCACCGGCTCAAGATTGACTCAGCCTTCCATCCTTCCGAGGTGGGTAAAGTGAGGACCCAGATTGTTAGGGGGCAATATGCTATTTAATATACTGTCTTTGGTGTAAGATGCCCAGAGTCCTCGGAGGGTGGGCGACATAGAAATATGATAAATAAATAAATAAATAAATAAATAAATAAATAAATAAATAAATAAATAAATAAATAAATAAATATGCATAGCAGTGAAGGTAAGGATTAAATTGCTGTTAAAAAAAATCCACTTTAACTCATAGTTATCTTAATCCAATCTTTGAGATATAGATCTGGTACTTTAAGTGGCATTTCCTCTCCATATAACTTTCCCACTTACTTTCAAAGAAATTCATTTGGCTCTATTTATAGAACTCTATTTATAGAATTATTCCTTATAATTGAAAAGGATGTTGTATACATGAAAAAAACAATAGGTGTGCATCTGATTACATACACAACTCTGAAGAGGAGAGGATGGAACCAAAACTAGTAGACTCCAAGGCAAAACTCTCTAAGCAGTGGTTTTCACTCATGGTAAGTTTTCATCGTCTTCAATTGCTAAGAAATCCCTGAAGGAAAAATTCTTAAAAGAAAATCCTTTTAGATGATAAGTGCATCTAACAATTTTTTTTTAAAAAAAATCAGGCTATTATATTGTCAACTATTTTTATTGGGAATATTTGCATATCTTGGCAAAGACTCCCTTATCTATTTAACGATAATTCCTTGGTGCTTTCTAGTTATATTGAACTTCAACTCCCAGCCAGCATGCCAAAAGGAATGGGCTGAGGGAAGACCAACAACTCTAGAGGCCACCAAATGGGGGAAATACTATCATTAAGCGGTTCCCAGTAAGTGATACTGACCAGTTCAGTGAAGCCATCTGTAGGCCCTATTCCCACAATATGCTTAAAACCACTAGTGATTTTAGAATCATGGAATCATGGTAACGGGATCAAGTATTGCCATTTTGGAAACACAGAGCTATCCATTTTCTTCAGGAACTATCTGAATTTCCAGAAGGTCTTGCACCAGGAAAATAGTAGTAAGGATTTTCAACATTACTAACTCCTTCCCCATTGGCCAGGCCAGCAGCAATAGGTTGCAGCCAATATTCGGGAAACCATGCTCTGTGCTGCCTGTATTGGCAATGAGCTCTATAAGGGAAGGCATTACTTCTCCCCAGTGGTGAAATCCAAATTTTTTTACTACTGGTTCTGTGAGCATGGCTTGGTGAGTGTGGCAGGGGAAGGATACTGTAAAATCTCCATTCCCTCCCACTCCAGGGGAAGGATACTGCAAAATTCCCATTCCCTCCCACTCCTTGGGGAAAAATATTGCAAAATCGCCATTCCAACCCCACTCTGGGGCCAGCCAGAGGTGGTATTTGCCAGTTCTCTGAAGTACTCAAAATTTCTGCTACTGGTTGTCCAAACTGCTCAAAATTTCTGCTACCGGTTCTCCAGAACCTGTCAGAACCTGCTGGTTTTCACCCCTGCTTCTCCCCAGCTCTTTTACCAGGAGGACATCATAAGGAAAACCGCTCAGTGGATGGTTAGATCCCACTCCATTTGACTGGATGGAGTTAATTTAATCTTCTGTATGATGGGGTTTGTTTGAGATAAATTTAATTCTATGGGTGTCCTTGACAGACTCAGTCAATTCCTTTTTATTGTTCTACAAAACATGAGCATTAAATTAGGTAATTGTGTTGTGGCAGCATGGGCATTATTGCTGCTTAGTCAGGTTTCCCCTTCAAAATAAATCTGAATATGTTTTCAGTGGAAATAAAACCATCTGCATAAAGCACATTTGTGTCTCACATTTCTATTTAAACATTATGATTTAAAATCCTCCAATTTCAAAATGGACTCAGGGTCATTTCTCACATGCCTATAATCTTGGCTACAAAGTCAGACCACTTCTGGCAAGACTATTATACCCTATGCAAAGCAGATATTTATTCAAAGATTTGAAAATAGAACCAGTCATTAAAAAAGAGAAAATATAATATCCCACTGGATAAGCACAAAGGCCACCTCCAAAGTGATAAATTAGGCTTGACCGTACGTCACATTATCCATGATTGAAGAGCATGGAAATTATAGAACATCTTGAAAGTAACAGAATCTTCACTCCTACACGATGTAGTCCAGCTACGTATTTCCACAGTGTTCAATTAAATGTCAATGGAAAGTCCACCTAGGTGTACATGGGCAATGGAACCCTCCTGTTTCACATAAATCACTGTTATTAGTCATGATCGTTAGATTGCAATGTATTGTATTTTGTGCTGCTCTGAAAGAACAGAAATATATTCCCAGAGCTTTTTTTTTAAAAAAAAAAATCCAATAATTCCTGATTTGTTGGCACACTTCAAAATATCAATCCTGGTGCTTGAATACTTGAAACAATGTGCCTCATTATCAGTCTTCTCTTACCTTAAGATGTGCCAGCTGTGGATGAGAGATGGGCCTTTTCCATAGTTCTATCTAGTTTGTGGAATGTTCTTCCTGTAGAAGTTCTCCTGGTGTCCAACTTACTACGTTGTAGTGCAAAGCAATCCAGCCCTTTCACATAATTAGCTTTACAGGTTTTATGCAGTTCTAAAATGTTATAGATATTTCACTGTTGTTTTTAGATGGCCCCGGAAAACGGTTAGTAAAGATCCATGTATAAATATATTAATTAATAAATAAAACAGCCGATTACTATAGCAAACCAATTCACATGTCAGTTTCAGCAGACGGTTTAGTGAGATTTTGGGACTTCGGCTTCTCATTTCACTTGTTCTTAGATTAAATTTAGTCTAAATATATAGAAGACAGATGGAGAACAGACTGCCTTTCTGAGAAAGTGCCGGTTTTCTTTACCTAACCTCTTAAACAATCATACCAGCATGTTCTGCCATTTTTTAAAAATATCTAAATGTAAAGACTATACTGTCACATAGCTACTGATAAGCTTGGATCTACTGCTTTACAACATCTCTTTATTTTTACTCATATTATAAAACATTAGCACAGGGCTTCATAGTTCATTGCCTGTATACAATTTAATCCTATGACTCCCACTTTAAAAAAAAAAACCAATTATGATAAATAAACATCATTTTTGCATCAGCAGTATCACAAAAAGGACTCATAACTGCATACTGATGCATACAATAAATTAAAATCCTACAAATTGAATCTATCTACATAATAATACTATTGATATCAAAATGTGCCATTGCTCCTTAGCATTGCTTTTCCATTGGGATTATGAAAATATATACACCCATTTAGTTATTTTGCTACAATATAAGACTTTTAATGTTCAAATGGAAAACTTACATCACAGCAATGGCATCTCTACATATAAATTCAATAAGCCCCTCCATTGTCATTTAGAAGGCTTTCTGAGACATTATTGTGATTTTTGCTTTCACAGTAAATAAATTTGCATGGGCTCTGCACATCTGTTAGAAATGCATACACACATACGTATGTATGCATATATGCAATAAATTCTTACTCTTATTTACAATAGGACGTGTCTATATAAATATATAACATATGATAATGCCAGTATGCTACTACTACACATTCCATATAGTATAGCAAAAGTTTAAATGTTTAAATTTCAAAGGTTTAAACGGTTACATATGTAAGTATAGATGAACTGAACCAGCAAGGAAAGAGCTGCAATGCCTACAGTATTCGGTTCCCTGCTACTGCTGAATTTGATGAAAATGCATTATGCCAATAGGGATATTCGTCTCCAATGGAGCAATGATTTCATGCAGGACTAGAATAGAGTTGACAGTCATCACAGTAGAAGCAAATTCTACTCTCAGATATGCATGTTCATACTATATGCTCATTAATTTTTAAGAAATCATGGTTTAAACAAAAACAACAAGATTCAAAGGAAGTCTATTCTTAATTAGCTTTAGGGAGAATTTATGGCCATGCAACTTGTTTATCCAAAGGCTTCCTTGTTTTCCACTGTTTCATGCAAAAATACGCACAAATGCTGATGCATATGGTTATAATGTACTTCTCTCATCAAAGGGAATTGGAAGTCTCTAATTTTAAAGTGTGCTCAATTGTGGCTGAGAATTTTCATGCTGTCATCAGAAGGGATTGGTTATTAAAATCCTTCTCTTTTGGTTATTAAAACACTCACGTTCATGCAAAAATCTGAGAATAGAACAAGCCCCAATGTACTCTTTTTTACATTCATGGGTTTAAAAAGGTGTACCAATTTCCATTCATGATAGCAAACAAATAAACAAACAAAAAATCCAGAACTAATGTAATAATGCAAATATTTGCAGATCAGTACACAGTTTGAGAATATACAGTAGTTTCTATTTTTCTTCAAGTCTCGCCATTCACAGGATTCCTACGGTCCCAGGGCCTGCATGTCTTTGCACATTATGGACACTGACTATCCCAAAAAAGAATAAGGAGCCACGACGCAGGTGGAGTTTCAGGTTATGAACAATTTTTGGCCAATTTTTGGCCGTAAAACATGATTCCCATATTGTCAGAATATACATTTAAGTTCTATCAGGGGCAGGTTTCAAAACCCGTCATTACCGGTTTGCTTGTGGGTGCACACGCGTGATGCTTCTGCGCATGCACAGAAGTGTCTGGCGCGGGTGAGCAGAGCCTCCCACCGCCGCTGCTACCAGTTCGCCCGATCTGGAGCAAACCGGTGGCAGCCCCCCCACTGAGTTCCATGTTCTATTTGGTCAACAAAGTTCAGTTTTGGCTGGTGTGCATCATAATTGTTTACATGTTGTTATGAAGCTTTACCTGGAATGCACAATCTCCTTTTTTATTCAAGCATATAACTAGCCATGCCTTTTTGATATCCAGCAGTGGAGCTTCATAAATTAAATCATACTGGGAGATTTAAAAGTTGTAATATAGTAACTATAATAGTTACCCTCAAATAACCAGTTTACTCATTGCAAATTAACAAAGAAAAGTAAATGTTTAAACTGATTTGGTGAAAAATGCATACGATTAGTTTTTACTTTGCAAAGGAAATATATCTTTGACTGTGCCCAGTACCACAAGGCACAAGTGCAAATAAATCACGAAATAATTGAACAGATTCTCATTTTATTACCATCACAAGACCAGCACTATTGAGAGTAAACACCGTCCATTCTTTAAAGAGAGAAAGAAAATAGGAAGAATATAAATAAAAATTGAATTAAAATTAAAAGAGATAAGAACCATGGCGACCCAGGGCCTGCATTCAGCGCCAAGCAATCATTAACCTTTGAGGGATGCAAACCAGTAGCACAAAACCTAGCAACCCTATATGTGTGATTAATAGTTCTACTGGTTAACAGATAAACTGCATAAAAGGCGCCAGTGGACCCTGGCAGCTCAGATAGTAAAGGGACAATCAGAATCAAACCACTGCCATTGTAATAAGAGCAATATAGAAAGAAGTCAGTAAAGTATTTGCCTGATCCAAACCATAAAGGCAGATGCAGTCTAGTATGCCCTGCATATTTGCCAATAAGAATGCTCTTAATTTTTGGGACTGCAGAGAATAAAGACCAATAAAGGAGAATATTTGTAAGCTCAAGGTTGAAATGAAGAGTCCTTGGTGCTCTCTGAGATTGCTTGCTTGCTTTCTTGCAGACATTTCATCACCCAAAGTAGTAGTGTTCCTAGCACTGATGGTGTTACCTAGTTTGGGTAATGAAATGCCTGCAAGAAAACAACCAAGATCAGAGAGCACAAAGGACTCCTCAGAGAGTAAAGTTTAGAAGCTGGAGCCCAATGGGAAACCAGATTTTCAAAATGCTTTAAATCAGTGTTTCAACCTTAGCAACTTTAAGATATGTGGACTTCGACTCCCAGAATTCCCCAGCCAGGCATGCTGACTGAGGAATTCTGGGAGCTGAAATCCACATATTTTAAAGTTGCCAAGTTTGAGAAACACTGCTTTAAATGACTGATTAGCCTGGTGCTCCCAACTTCTCCCGCAGTCTACATCCAAAATCTATTGTTTTAATGTCCCTTTATTGCTAAATCCCATAAATTCTAACAATTTACCCATGACAGGAACTGGTCAGGCAGAGTAGAAAGAATCAAGCAAAGTCAAGTGTGGCTAAATTTCCTGGCAAAAAAAAAAGATCAAATAACAAAATGTGTCTTTTCTGCTTCCAAGCCAAAAGTCATGTTTTGGAGCAGCAAAAATCCCTAATTATTTTGGATAACCTGTGGCTTCCCGTAGGGAAAGTCGAGATACTCATGAGTCTGCACTCTATACTCCACGGTTCATAAAACTTTGGCATTAGGAACTGTTAACACCGAAGGGATATAGACACAGAGCCCCTGGCCCTGCAATAAAATCTCAAGATGGCAAGGGAAGCATTTTGAGCATTATTCCCTACATATGACAGCTGAGCATGCCATGATCTTGGGGCATGAAAATCACTTCCAGATATTCCAGTAGAAGATCCACTTGCTTTATCATCTGCCCATTAATTTGCCCCCTGTGTCTAGTCAGCCATCTGGCAAGCACTTTAACTTTAGTTTTATCTTCTGTTTTGTAAGAAACTAATAATTAACATCTTACCGAGAAGGCTCCTGCAATGAACTAGAATAAATAGATGTAAAGGGCTGTGAGTTGTGCTATAATAGTTGTATACTGTATATAACATAAATCCCAGTGGTGAAATCCAAATTTTTTTACTACCGGTTCTGTGGGCATGGTATGGCTTGGTGGGTATGGCAGGGGAAGGACGCTGCAAAATCTTCATCCCCACCCCACTCCAGGGGAAGGAGACTGCAAAATTCTCATTCCCTCCCCACTCCTGGAGGAAGGATATTGCAAAATCTCTATTCCCACCACACTCTGGGGCCAGCCAGAGGTGGTATTTGCCTGTTCTCTGAACTGTTCAAAATTTCCGCTACCGGTTCTCCAGAACCTGTCAGAACCTACTGGATTTCACCCCTGATAAATCCCCTCTACTCTGGATTACTTGTTGAAATTCAGCAGATTTTCTAGGTCTGATTAGGAAGACACTTTGGAAAGTTTACATGCACCGTTTTGAGCCAGCTCAACATTTTCCACTTCAGAGAGAGGCAACCTGGTACCTGCATGAACCTGCAAGGTAAAAAGTATAAGGCAAACAAATTAGAATAAATTGTTTGTCTTGTAAATAAATAAAACTCCACAAGGAAAGGCGAAGGGAGCAAATAAAGGGTGATGCTGTAAGTATGATTTGATATTGGAAATAATCAGATAGATCAGTCATTCATCAGTCATTCATAGGCAGAAAATATAACCCTTGAAGTATAATCCCAAGAGTTATTTAAGAGTAAACACTCCTATTTTTTCAAATTACTGTATTTTTCAATTCAATTTAATTCAGTTTATTCAATTTGTATACTGCCCTTCTCCTAGCACACTCAGGTCGGTGCACAGCCAAAACTAAAACACATACCAATACAAAATTTAAAATTATTAAAAGAATTACATACTTTGGCCCAAATTTAAAACAATCTGAATTAAAACCCATTGACAGATTAAAAGCTAAAAAACTAAAAAAAGGGGGGGTCATGCCAGCCCTTCTTGATGGAAAAGAAAAGTTTTCAGGGCACAGAGAAAGACCCGGAGTATAAGACGCCCCTTTCCCCCCCAAAAAAAGAGGTGAAAATCTGGGTGCATCTTACACTCCAAATGTAGCCCCGCCCAGCTTCTCAATCAGAGGTTTCAGAGGCTGAAAAAAGCATCAGAAAAGAAACTTCAGAAAAGAAGCCCCCAAAAGAGCTTCAGAAAAGAAGCCCCCAAACAGAGCTTCAGAGGCTTTTTTTCTGAAGCTCTGTTTTGGAGGCTTTCAGAGGCAGGAAAAAAAAGTTTTTTCTGAAATGGAGTTTCAGAAGTTTCAGAGGCAGAAAAAAAAACAAAAAAAAAAAAAAAAGCAAGGCACAGAGCTCATAAACAAGGAACCTATTACTAAAATTCACCTCTGGTGAATGAGCTGATTGGGGGTATTCAGGGAGGCCAATCCACCTGCCAATCAGCTTTTTTTTTTATTTTCCTCCCCAAAAACTAAGGTGCATCTTTTACTCTGGTGCGTCTTATACTCCGAAAAATACGGTAAGCAGGAAATAAAGGAAAATTACATTGGCAGTGGATTTTGTCAGTGTAGCACAATGTTAAGTTAAGATGGAAGATAGGGACTGAAAGGACGTGTCGAACAGCAGAAGCTTTCTCAGAGCTGAAATTTGAAATTCTTCTTGAGATTTCAGAGGCTAAATCAAAGAAGTTCTGCAGTATCAGTTGTTTCTGTCTCTATCACTTTTATTTCTCTATCTCATCTCTGTACAAAAGAAGTATTGGGTATTAGTTGCCATAAACCCAATTTATTCTAATTTGTTTGTCTTATACTTTTTACCGTTCTATTCAGGGCTTTATATAACATTGCTTTTCTTGAAGAAACAATAGTTTTTCCTCCAGAAGGATCCCACTGGCCTTCTGAGACGAAAGGCAGAAAGATAAAAGGTGATGGAATGATACAGTTGGTGTAGTTAAGCAAGGAATGATTTAATACAAAACAAATGAAATAATGGTGCCATGTGATCTTGTCCCTGACAAAATTACACACTTTCAGGTTGTATGGAGTTGTTGAGAAATATTTAAGTATCCATTATGAATTAACCCTTGAAGAGCTCAACTTTGTGTAGCCAAAGTCTTCAATTTTCAAACTAAATTTTAAGTAATGTCCCTCATAATTATCCTAATTTTAAAAAGTTGGAATTGTACCAGAGACATGTAATAAGTAATAGCTAAATTCTCTTTAGGATTCCATGAAGATCCTACAATAAATGTTGCTGGAGGATGGAAAGTCAGAGATATTGGTCAACCAATATACTGATCTGGAATTGAGAATACAATATTTTATGGATTGACATTATTTCAAAAATATAAAGTACTTAAACCTGGGGGTCCCGAGTTGTTCTTGCAGAATCAAGAGACAAAAGGGCCAGGACAATCTGTGCCCAGTTTTAGCAATAAACCAGTGGTTATTTTCTTTGAAGAATGGACATCAGGCCGTTTCATGCTCTTGTTCCTTTTTTGAGATTATTATTACATACTCAACAGAAAATTGCCGATGAAATGTTTTTGAACTTGAGTTGGTAAAATAAAAATGTGGCTTCTACACCTATTGTATATATTGGAGAGCTTTTGTAGGACTTGTTACATTAAGGTGCTGGCTTTGATCTACAAACTGAGTTTTTTTGGTCCACCTGAGACGCTAATCAGTGAGTAGAAAAAGAAAGGTCTTTTAGTTGCAAAACTCTAGTTGCTGAACTCATTCTAAAAAGAAATGAGATTGGTTCACTGCTTGCTTTATTTTTGTACCACTAACCATTTTAGTTCTGTATTATTACTTATTATATTCCGCTTTTAAATTGTATGGCTTTTATTCCCTTTTTCTTTTTTGAATGATTGGATTTATGATGGTTTTTAATCTCAAGTATTGGTGTTCTTATTTTTCACTGATTCCTGTATCTGGGAGATCAAGGGATAGATCTACATATATATCTCCAGACTATTTTGGTTCTAAGGCTTCATTAATCCATGTCTTTGATTTATAAATTTCCAAAACCCACTTCCGAATAGCCAGGTTTGTAACAGAAATGCTTGAGGTTTTATCTTTGCAAATACCACACATTAAAAAGATAGACTGGAGAAACACAAAGAAGTGTGAGAGACAGATCAAACATTATTGCAGCCCATAAATTTGTATGAAACACTGCACAAATTATGTGTGCCCTAATGCATTTTGCATTGAGAATTAGACACTAATTATTCCACATTTCATTAGAGTCATTATTTGCATGCAGAGCACTAGCAGAAGCAAAAAATTGGAAAGCTGCTAAGAATCCAAAGCCCAGTATGAAAGCATCAAGGAAAGGGTAAAACAACATTACTTGCTGAGTTTTGAAGCCATTAATGTGAGCACCAAATTGTGCTTGCTTCTGCTTTCATTTCACACAGTCCAAATTCTCACATAAGAAATTTTCCCCCATCCAATCTCTTTTAATATCTGTACTGAATGAAGATTCTAAGAAGTGTCCAGGGACATTATAATTCAATCTGAATGCAGGCAAGGAATAGCTAACGCTACCTCCTTGGCATTAAACTCTCTTTACGCTGAATTTCAGACACTATTCTGATTTCTGCAATCTGGAATTTCTATGGAACAGAAGAGCTTCGTTCCCCCTACTTCCCCAAATTTTGCAAAAAAAATAAATAAATAAAATTAAATTAAAATTAAGCAGTCCTTCCCATCATTTCTCCTCACTATGAGAATATTAGTGAGGAGAAAGATGATCATTAATTGTTTTGTGAGTATTTTCTCCACAGGATTTTGGGTCAATAATTTTGCCAGGCAGGTTACTATGCCTGTCCATTTCATGTGCTTGATGTAAAATGGGTCTCATTCCTGTGGAATCCACCAGGGCAATTTTCATGATCATAAACAGAAGGTTGGTGTTTAAGGTCAAAGTTCTTTTAGGTGACAAAGATGAGAAGAGATAAGAAATGGGCATGAGGCATTGGTAAAAATGCTTATTTCTCTCTCCAATCAAATAATCATTCTTTGCCTTTGAAAAGAGAAAGGTTGGATCCTCAAAGACACATAGAACACCTTTTAGTGTTATCCAACTATTATTGTGCTGAAATAACAATAATAAGGAGAGGCTATATTTTGCTTCATAGGTAGGAATAGGTCACTAGAAGATGCTTCATATCACTAGTGGAATCCCACCATAGTCACTATCACTGTCACTGCACTGTTTTCCTAATTCATGATTTGGCAAACTGGGATCAAGGATTAGCTTGCTTGATCCATTTTTTAATATTACATCAGTGGTGGGTTTCAAATTTTTTTACTACCGGTTCTGTGGGTGTGGCTTGCTGGGCGTGGCATGGCTTGGTGGGCATGGCAGGGGAAGGATACTGTAAAATCTCCATTCCCTCCCCAATCCAGGGGAAGGTTACTGCAAAATCCCCATTTCCTCCCGATCAGCTGGGACTCGGGAGGCAGAGAATAGATGGGGGTGGGGCCAGTCAGAATTTTTACTACCGGTTCTCCGACCTACTCAAAATTTCTGCTACCGGTTCTCCAGAACTGGTCAGAACCTGCTGAAACCCACCTCTGTATTACATCTGTTCACATGAGGGAGTTAGAAAAGAAAACTAGCTTGCCCATAAATTTCATCTATTTATTTCAGGGCAATTTCCTTCTTATATAACCAAAATTAACTCCCACTGAATTCAATGGGCTTAGTTCAAGGATACTATAGGTTTGCAGTTTGTGATAATGCATAACAGAGTCAGTATTCTATAATTATTGACAAGCTATGATTCTTATTTTATTGGCTTTGGGAATGTGCTTGAACTGATCTTAGGACCAAACTGTATTTTAGACTTTTTTTTTTTTAACTGTGCTTAAAGTTTTGTTGAGTTTTGGGGAAAAGAGTGGGGTTTTTTTTAAGGAAAAAAACTACATAAACCTTCGTTGCCATGTGGCAGTGAACAAATTTAATAAATAAATAAATAAAATAAACAGTTGCACCAGTTTCCTGCAAAAAAAAAAAATCTCTCTCTTACTGCTAAATGCTGGTGAAGATATTGGTTAGTGAATATAGCCTTTTCAAAGGCCAATAGCAGCCAGCAATGAGGAAAATTTTCAGCAGGAGAATGACGCAAGATTTCGCAGCTGCTTTTGTTTAATTTCAAAGCAATTCATGGAAACATAAATAAAATATAATTTAGTACCCCAAATTTTGATATTTATTCCCCCTTTTTAATAACTGGAAATATTTCAGCAAGTCTACATCAGCAAGCCCTCTTCCAAAATTTAAAATAAAATTGTAAATTATGTATCTGCTATAAAAATATATATAAAGAAATATGGCCACAACTTTGCCAGCTGGTTGTTTCATGATGCATAAGGTCAAATGAAGCAAAACAAAATAAAATACCCCAATCCCGAAATAATTTGTCTTCAAATGAAAATAGTTATAGCCATACACTCTTGCAAAGTAATTGGTTTGTAATCATATATTTGTGGCTCAGAATTCAGAAATTTCCACGGTAGTTAAATTAGACAATGCACCATTGTAGAATGAAAAGGTTGGATAGTGATCGAGAGACTATGAATGTTATATGCCTAATGGGAACATACAGGAAAGGACAAAGAGGAAATCTAGCCATTTGACATGCAAAGTAGTGCTAATTCCTGTTTAATATACTTTTGAGACTTCTCTCTACTGCTTCATCTAATTCTTCTTCCAACTCCTCCTTCTTGGACATGGCCAGTTTAGACTGGTAATCTTTCACTATTTGGTCTATGTAGGGTGCACTTTGAGTTCCATGTAGCATTAATGTCCATTCTTTCAGGACTCCCTTTTGGGGGAAGATCCCAACAAACCCAACTTCGAGAACCCAAGTACCTCTGGGGTCTTCTCCCCAAGAATGTGTAGTCATGAAAGGCCACTTGTCAAAGCCCACTTTGGAATCATCATCCCTTGGCCGCCGACTCAGCAAGATGGATTTTGTCCCCATTGGTGAAGTCATGTTGATATTCAAATCCCCTCTTCTCGTAGAGTTTACTGTGATAACTGCTTGAACATGTTCAAGGTAACGGACAAAGTTCTCTTTTCCCTCGCAGGCATCTGTTGAAAGTGTCAGAACCAGCTTGCCACCAGATGGTATTTTCCTAGGATTTGCAAAGAAAAGCAATGCTGAATACCATGTTTTCCTTAGTACCCATCAATCCAAAAGTGCAGATTAAGACTTGGAATGAAAATATAAAAAGACTGAATCAAGATAATTAATAGGTGATTTATTTTTACATACAAATTTATGTAGCTGTCCAAACTCACACATAGGTGACTCCTTGGTGGCTTACAACATTAAAAAAACAACTCATATAATAAAACTCAGAACAAAAACCACCCCCATCCCTGTTGGCATCAACAACACAATCAAATCAGCCACTTGACTGGCTCTGTCTCCATTTGTGGTCTCCAAGCCAACTGAAAAAAATCACGTTTTGGGGGCTTTATGAGATCATTAAATTGTGTGCTTCCCTTTTAGATCATAACTTGTTTATAGTATTCTATTTATTATTTAATCAGCATTTCTACAAAGAGCATCTTGGGCAGATTCAAATTTCCTGCTTGGCTCATTACCAATATAGTTACATCACTGAATGCAAGAGTGGATATTGTCTTCTTATTCTTACTCCCAGCCCAATACAAATGCATCCTGTGCCTATATTTTCCAGCTGTGACTCAAATATGCTATTTTCTACCTGAGCCATCTTAAACCCTTCAGAGGTTTCAGAACAAACCCTTCATCTTTGTTCTTTTTTAAAAAAAAGTTTTATTAAATATAAACAATTCCATTTCTAAATAAATAGTGCGTTGTCTGCATAGAAATAATTTTGAGAAATAATAATCATAATATTTACAATAATATTCATCACATTAATATTGATCTCATAATAACCAACAGAAACTGGTTAGAAATATGGAAATATAAAAACAGATTAATTTTATAAGGAAGGTTTAGTAAAATGGATAAGCAAACTTTGTTCTGTTTCATAACAGAACATACCACATTCCCTCCTCTTCAGAATCTATACTTTCCTATGGGCATCTAATTTTGGCTGCCAGGATTCTATGTCCTCTGTTGGTTGGCAGTCACTATCTTTAACAAAGTATTGGCTGAACCAATAATGGCCATTAAGTAAATGAACATATCTCAACCATAGAAACTCACATGCCAGCCATCTCTCAATGGGTACTCATTTTTGTTTTTCTCCAAATTGGATGAAGCATAATCTTACTTTCAACCCCTGCTTACAATAATACAACAATTCCATTCCTTTCCTTTCCTTTCCTTTCCTTTCCTTTCCTTTCCTTTCCTTTCTTTCCTTTCCTTTCTTTCCTTTCCTTTCCTTTCCTTTCCTTTCCTTTCCTTTCCTTTCCTTCCCTTCCCTTCCCTTCCCTTCCCTTTCCCTTTCTTTCCATATAGCTGAACTACAACTTCCAGCATTTCTCGTCATTGCCGTCAGTAAATATGTGGCACTAAACTATTATATTTAAATTTGTCCAGATAAAACCTAACCAATATGTTCTATAATCCTTATTAAACTTTTACATCAGTAATGTGTAAATTCCTATAAAATATATAGAATGGTAAATTAATAAATTGCCACAGTTAATTATTTGATTCTTTCATTGTCTTCATATGGAATCAAATCAGAAAATAATTGGACTGCCTAGCATTAAACTGAAGACTTGAGAACATATGGCAAACAAAATATTTAATGCGTCAATGAAACAGCATTCAGATTACATATGCAGAGTCCCAAAAGTAACCTGGAATCATCAATATATTTGTATAATCAGATACAAATTTAATGAATTTGTACAAACTGGAATATTATGGACCATGCTCAGTTGTTGGTTTAATTTGAACACTAGTCATAGACAACTTGTTGCATATGAAAACAAAGACTGTCATTAAAGTTCCTGATATTGGACTAAGAACTTCTGGTCCTGATGGCTTGAATATTATGTTTCTTATCCAATTTAGAAAGCAAAGTGAATGCTTCAGTATGTGCCCAACTTTCTCCCTCTAAATAAGGAACCCTTGAGATATACAATCTTCAGATCATGTAGGAATGTAAAATAATATGGAAATTCCTTGATGAAAGAATGGATGAGCTCTTAAAGAAGGAAATTAATAATTCAATCCTAGGAAAGTAGAAGGTTTGAGAAAGAAACTCAAAACAACCCTGCCTTGATTTTATTTGGTATAAAATGGAATAGAAAGAACCTGTCAAGCTTTTAATGTTCTATAGGTGTCACAATAAAATAGAATTTCTGTAATCTTTGTGGTGTCTTATCTTTTTCTTGAGCTGGCCTACCTTGAAGGAATAGTCTCACAAGCACAATATTGTTGCTTCCAGGGATACTTGACTATAAAAACATCCTGAAAAACTGACTTTCAGAGATGACTATAATACTGTGCTTTCAGTGTCCTAGTCACTAGAAAGGAATTGTTTATTGACAGAAACAATGCTCATTTGTTGCTGCTTTTGTTTTTACCAACATCAAGAAAAAGACCAGGGAAAGCATAATAGATTATGGTCCAATTCAAAAGAAGATCTATTGGAAAGGACAGTAAGGTTCTGCTATAGGACTACAGCTTTCCTAATTTTTATCATCAGTTTTCGGGTGAGAACTATTTTCTGAGTTTTTTATTTATTTATTTTTTATTTATTTTATTATATTTCTATACCGCCCTTCTCCTGCGGGACTCAGGGCGGTGTACAGCCAGGATAAAACATAGCATATAAAATTTAAAAACATTTAAAAAAAACAATTAAATAATATTGGCCCGAATTTAAAACAACCCAATTAAAACCGAAATTCGATTAAAAACTAAGAGGATGGGATCAAGCCAGCCCAGCTAGATGGAACAAGTGTGTCTTCAGGGCCGGACGAAAAGTCCGGAGGTCTGATATTGTGTGTATCTCAGGGGGCAGGTCATTCCAGAGGGCAGGCGCTGCCACAGAGAAGGCTCTCCCCCTGGGGGTCGCCAGCCGGCACTGCCTGGCCGACGGCATCCTGAGGAGGCCCTCTCTGTGCGAACGAACCGGTCGGTGGGAGGCTATCGGTGGCAGAAGGCAGTCTCGCAAATACCCCGGCCCTAAGCCATGGAGCACTTTAAAGGTGGTCACCAACACCTTGAAGCGCACCCGGAAGACCACAGGAAGCCAGTGCAGCTCGCGCAGGAGAGGTGTTATATGTGAGCGCCCCATCGCTCCCATAATCCCCCGTGCGGCCGCGTTCTGGACCAACTGCAGCCTCCGGGTGCACCCCAAGGGGAGCCCCATGTAGAGAGCATTGCAGTAGTCCAGGCGGGAAGTGAGGAGTGCTTGAGTGACCGTGCGTAGGGAGTCCCGATCCAGAAAGGGGCGCAACTGGCGTATCAGGCGAACCTGATAAAAAGCCCCCCTGGCCACGGCCGTCATATGCTCTTCTAAAGACAGCTGTGCGTCCAGGAGGACGCCTAAGTTGCGAGCCCTCTCCGTGGGGGCCAGTGATTCGCCCCCAATAGCCAGCGATGGCACCAGCTGGCTATATTGGGACGCCGGAAGCCACAGCCACTCGGTCTTGGAAGGGTTGAGTCGGAGCCTGTTTCTCCCCATCCAGGCCCGCACAGCCTCCAGGCACTGGGACATCACTTCAAGGGCATCGTTGGGGTGGCCTGGGGTGGAGATGTACAGCTGAGTGTCGTCAGCGTACTGATGGAACTCCACCCCAAGGCCACGGATGATCTCGCCCAGCGGCTTTACATAAATGTTGAACAGAAGGGGCGAGAGGACCGACCCTTGTGGCACCCCACAAACAAGGCGCCTCGGGGTCAACCGCTGCCCCCCTGTCAACATGGATTGCGACCGGTCAGAGAGGTAGGAGGAGAACCACCACAGGACGGTGCCCCCCATCCCCAGCCCCTTCAACTGGTGCAACATGATACCATGGTCGATGGTATCAAAAGCCGCTGAGAGGTCTAACAGGACCAGGATAGAGGAACAACCCCTATGAAAGGAGGTCTCATTTACTATTTATAAATGAAGACAAGCCAAGTAATAATTGGTGTTCCCTGATAGAGTTAAGCATGGCCTTTTTATTACTCGTGGGTCTTGCATATTGAAATACACATAGAAAGCTGCTTGATATAGTGCTTTGAGAATTCCTATCTGGTAACTTTTCATGAAATCTATTTTCTGCTGTTACAGGTGAGGTATGGAGCACTAAGCTCTTTTCCAGAAGGCATTTCCTGACCATTTTTGATTCAGCCTATCACATTGGCTTTATATCAGAAGGAAAATGCCATGTAATTGCCAAGCTGGGTTTACTACTCCCAATTTTCTCCCTCTAAATAAGAGTGGATAATCTGAATCATATTGAATAACCCTGTTCTTGATTCCTTACATGTGGAAAGTTAGTGAAGGATAACTAATCCATTGAAGTGAGGCAACAGTTTTGTAAATTTAAATTGGATTAAGGACTCATCAATACAGATGTTTACTGTGGTAAAAAAAAATGTTCCACTCACTGATTCTTAAGACATGATCATGCCAGAAAACCTTCCTCTTATAGGCAGCCCACAGCTGAGGCAAACTGAAGCTGGGCCAAAGGGTTTTTGCCATGAAATTAATGAATTTTTTCCAGGGAAAATGAAAGACCTCTCATCCAGACAATCCATGGCACATGGAGAAGGAGACTTAAATGACACAATTGAGGGCTATGATTGGCTTGGTTATAGCTTGACAGGTCTGCTATAAACCTGTCCTATTCTTTTCAATATGGCACCAATCCTGCAGTGCTGGTTTGGCTGCAAATCAGACAAGAAATTGACTACTGCAGACAGTTCCTTCCTTCCTTCCTTTCTTTCTTTTTAAAAGAGATCAGCTGACTGATGGACCTAGACAATGGAAACCTGAAATTGATTAGTCCCCCTTTAGCCTAACGCATGCAATTGAAGGACTTGATTCTTGTGCTTCTAACAGCCTGGCACCTGCTGAGCTGAACTCCTCCCATCTTCTCTGAATGGAATCTTGTTTTAAAAGGCTCAATCTGTCACAAAATGTAACTTGTCACAGGTATGGCTTCAACATATATATTTTCCCTTCCAGTGGTGGGATTCAGCCGGTTTCGGCTGGTTCGGGCAAACCGGTAGTTGAATTGCTGGGTGGCCCCGCCCCTCCCTGCCTCACCCCTTCCAGGAGTCCCCATGCATCCTATTTTGGCTCCCAGGTAAATGCAGGTAGGCCTACTAGCCCCAAAATGGGGCACAGGGAGTGGGTGGGTGCGCGCTGCCCCCCTGCAGTCAATTTTTGCTCCCAGGAGGCTGTAGAGAGGCCTACTAGGCCCAAAATGGGGTGCAGGGGGGGTGCGGGTCCCCCCACATTCCATTTTTTCTCCCAGGGGGCCCAAGTGCTGCCTGTCACACACCCTGGCCATGTCCATCATGGCCACGCCCACCCAGCCGGTCATTAGGGCAGAGTACTGGTTGTTAAATTATTTGAATACCACCACTGTTCCCTTCCCTACCTTTGAAGAGTCAGTTTGGTGCAGTGGATAAGGCATCAGGCTAGAAATTGGCAGACTAGGAGTTCTAGGCCCACCTCAGGCACAAAGCCAGCTGGGTGAACCTTGGCCAATCCTGGCCAATCACTCTCTCTCAGTCCTCAGTGGTAAACCACTTCTGGAAAACCTTGCCATGAAAAATGCAAGGACTAGTTCGGAAGTCAGAAAATGACTTGAAAGATCACCCCCAAAGAGACACCTTTTGAAGAACATAGCTTAGTAACTATGCGGTGTGTATGCTGTGATTTGACACAAACATCTATTCAGTAACATTTCAAACGGCAGCTTTTCAACCACAGTCCTCAGTCTCAACTGCACAAATCTTGATGTTGCATTTTAATAGCTAATGGGTTGATAGTCTACCAGGTCAATAATTATTTTGGAAAAAATATGTCAGTCTGAGGTTACGCCATAGCTGATAGTTTTCTCTCTTATACAGAACACCTCTCTTGACCTCTGGTTTAAAGAGTTCATTCAGCAACTGTATTTCAACTATGCAAATTCAGTCAGCCACTTCACTAGAACTAAGAAAACTGTAATTTTTGCTGCCAATGGGCTGACAGGTAATTGGTCCTTTGAGGGGGGAAGAAAGGGAGGGATGGGTTGAAATACCACACCAGAACACATTCTGTAATATAATCACTCTTAGTTTTTTTTCCCAGCAGTTAATATTTAAATTTCATCCAGGGAAAACCACCAAACACTGCCCTCAAAGAATGTGGATAGCAGCACAGCATAACCCCATTCCTGATGTGTATGACGGCCAATGACAATGCAATTTATGCCAATGCAATGTTTTCCCAGCTACAGGATGAAATGAAAGCACAGCAAAAGAGCTATGCAAAGTTCTAAGACACTTATGTTTATTGTTACTTACTGAGGCTCTTGGACTGATCCACCCACACAGTGAAATCTCTCTGGAACAGTCTTCCAGTCTTTAGCCATTGTAACCATTGCCCCAGCATCTAGGACCCCGTAGCCAAACAAGTGGTTGAATTCAAGGCCAACTCCGTTTCTTCTCCACTTGTGAACTTCATCGTGAAGCTGGTTCCTTTTGGATGTGAGCACAGTCAAATGTTGCAGGTCCCTCCAGGTCAGATCCACACTGCCAGAAAGCAAAACAGAGAAATCTGACATCTTTAGAAAATCTACTTTGGCAAAGACCATTGTACTGTGTATCTCAGACAGTTGTTATCTGTATATAAGCAAGACTTTTAAAAATAGCAAGGATTCATTCTTAAGGCTCAACGAATCATCAAAAGGAGAGGGCAAACTCTTCCATTTACATAATTTCTTGCCCTTTATATGGGCAACAGTCCTGATAAAAACAATACTTTTAAAAATGCATGGATCTATGGATAAATAATAGTAGAACTATCTAAGCAGGTGCTTCTAAGTGTACTATCTAAGTACTATCTAAGCAGAGATTGGGGGGAGAGAAAATTCACAAAATGAGTGTGATGTCATTATTTAAGTCCCGCCCCTTTTGTATATGTATCGGGGTGAAATCCAGCAGGTTCTGACAGGTTCCTGAGAACAGGTAGCAGAAATTTTGAGTAGTTCAGAGACCGGTAATGGAAAGTTTGAATAGTTCGATGAACTGGCAAATACCTCTGGCTGGCCTCAGAGGGGGGTGGGAATGGAGATTTTGCAATATCCTTCCCCCAGGAGTGAGGAGGGAATGGGGATTTTGCAGTATCCTTCCCCTGCCATGCCCCCCAAACCATGCCCACCAAGCCACACCACGCCCACTAAGCCACACCCACAGAACTGGTAGTAAAAAAAATTGGATTTCACCACTGATGTGTATGTTATATAAATGCATGACAGGTCTTGGTTTGTGAAATAATCTTGCAGATTTTGATACACACACCCCAGCAGATTACAATGAAGAGGAAATAGAAGTTTTAAATAGACATAGATACAGATATATAGTGTAGATAGACACATGATAGAAGATAGATTAGATAGATGACAGATAAAAAGGTAGATATGAGAGAGGGAGAGAGAGAGAGAGACTGTAGTAGATTTGAGAAATACCCTATTCTTAGAATACTTTGGCAGCTGATTTTCAGACCTCATCCAGAGGCACAGTTTCCTACATATTCAATAAGTGTGCTTAGAAGACTATAGAAAGCAATACTGTGTATTAAAAAAATATGCACAACTAAAAACAATCAGAGTGGAAATAACTAAGCCCTGGCGGGTTTGAATAGGAGGAGACAGATCTTTAAGAGACCATGGGTTAAAAATGCATTAGAGAAATCAATACCTCTTCAAGAATAAGTGCCATCTTCCATGTACCTTCTCTAAAGTTAACCTAACTGCATTCCAAAGAATTAAGCCCTCTTGATGAGTTTCGAGAATATGTGCGGGAGATAAAGAGGTCATGATGGAGCTGATTGCATCAAAAGTGGTTTCAAGTTCTTCTGTCAATACAGGAAGATCAAGTAATACAGAAGCCACCTGCATGGCTTTAAATCCTTTTGAATTTTTTAAAAAATATCATTTCCCTCCTTGCACATTTTCTAAAAAACATCAAACTGGCTTTCATGTGCAGCCTGCTTTAGATAGCAATTGATGTTCAGTTCATGGATGCTTAAAATTGCATTCCAAGCCATCGAGTAATTTGCATTTATAACAAAATAACTGATGGCTGCTTTCACCTACTTTGCTTCCAGGGCCAGAGCAAACACTCCTGCAGCCTCTGGGGCAGCTGCAGATGTTCCTGAGTGGCGTAATGTACAGTTGCCATATAGATCTGTTGTAGCCTGCAACAAAGTACAACAAGCTTAAGTAGATAAATGATACTTGAGTCTTCAAGGTGTATAAAGAGATAAAAAGAGATATTAAACAGAACAATCACTTCTTCCTAAGGAGGGTTCATTTTCTTTTGTGTTCTTACTGGTAGTTTCTTGCTTGTAGAATGTAAGCATTGCTTCTTGCCTTCTGTAGCTTCTTGTCTCCATGCCATCCTCCAAGATTTCCTGCTCAACTTTGGCAATTTTTAGATGTGTGGACTTCAACTTCCAGAATTCCCCAACCAGCATGGAAATTCTGGGAAGTCCATACACCATAAAGCTGCCAAGGTTGAGAAACATTACTCTAGAACAAGAATGTCCAACTTGACAACTTTAAGACTTGTGAACTTCAACTCCCAGAATTTCATGTTGGCTGGAGAATTCTGGGATTTGAAGTCCATAAATTTTAAAGTTTTCAAGTTTAGATATCCCTGCTCTAGAGCATACTTTAGGAGACAGGAAACCCTTACTCTAGAACATATTTTAGGATAAATCTGGATAAAGACGGATTGGCCATATATCATGTTTCCCAACTTGCTTTTAATGGCAACTTCCTGTGAATGAGTTCTATTCCTGGGAATTATGGATAACATTCACTACATTATAACATCAAGGATTTTTAAATGTGGATTAGAACTGGATACTTTTCTCAGGGTTGGGGGCCACAACTCATTCCCATCATCTGAAGGGCGGCACCTGGTGTTATTCAAAAACTGATGCCACCAGAATGGAGCAGGGCTAAATTTTTGTGATGGTAGAGGACACAAATAGACTATTCAGGAATAAGTGATCCTCATTTTTTTGATTTGATTATGTAGTCGCTACAGGGTGATCTATTATGTATCTTTTGGGGTTAGTTTCTTAGGGTAAACCAATCTTGTGATAATCATGAAATCAGCAATATTGTTTCTATATCCTTATCAGTCAACCCAACCTTGACATTGTCTGTTACAGATAGAATTGAAGACCAAATTCTATGAAGACTTTTTCTTCTGTAGTTTTTTTTTTTTTTCAAGGAAGGACTCACTGGAGAAGAGCCTAATGCTGGGAAAGATTGAGGGCAAAAGAAGAAAGGGACGACAGAGAACGCGGTGGCTGGATGGAGTCACTGAAGCAGTAGGCGTGAGCTTAAATGGACTCCAGAGGATGGTAGAGGACAAGAAGGCCTGGGGGAATGTTGTCCATGGGGTCGCGAAAACAACATTTTTTTTTAACAACATACAGCTGTTAGGTTGTGCAGCATTTCAGATTTGATAGCAAGAAGTTGGAGCATGCAAAAGTAGGGCCTGTGTGCAAATCCTTAAATGTGAAGCTGGAGAATTCAGTGAGGAGAGCATCTGTTTGCAATTTCTTAAAGTACCTTTTCCTGAGATGGTGGGCAACTATCCCTATGCATTACAGCCAGATGGTTTCCAAGTTTACAGTTAAAGGCTTTTTAAAGTTATAGCAACTGTGTAATTAACACAGTTTTTTAATTTCCACATCTAGTTTTGCTTAATTTTAAAACTGAACTATCCTACTAAATACAGTATACTTACATATAGACTGACATAAATTGTTATCCAATACCAACTTCATGCATTTTCTCAAGCAGCTTGAAGTACAAAAAAACACATATATTCTTGAAAACCTTTATTCAAAACAATATTAAAGTTATAATTCCTTAGATTATAACTAAAATGTCACCAAACATCTGTTGAGTAGAGAAATGGAGGCTGGCTTGCTTGATTTTCATACAGAATTCATGACCTTTCCATGTTTGTCTTCTCACTAAATAATGAGAATCTCCAAAAGTAAATCTCCTTTCAGCCAAACCTCTCAGTTTTTTCATTAAACAGCAGTAAAATAGGATTTTTCTCATCTAGTGTTGTATACTGTTTCCTCAAGTTTCCAAAAATTATTGGGTGGATATTAGGGAAGCCATTATTCAATGTATCAGCTGAATGAAGACTGATTAGTAAAATATACAAAGGACAAAAAGAAGTAATTGTTCATCCTACCACACCAGCTTCAGGATTTCGCTTTCTCCCATTGCTAAAAGTAGAAGCTAAAGTTGAGGAACAACTTTCATCATATAAAGCTGTCCGCCCATCGTTAATAGCTGAATTGATGGAGATAGTCCACATGCTTGATGCGTAGCCATCACAGTTACAGTCATCATAACTTCCTCCATCTCCAGAAGCCCAGACATAGATACTTCCCTTGCCACCACGGCCCTGTAGAACAGGTAAATCCAGGCAAACAGTTTTAGTCATTATATGTCAAATAGTTTTTTTTTTTTTAATGATAGAGATATTAATGTGGGAAAAAGTAGTTTCATGTGGAATCCTCTGGTCTCTTGAGATAATGTTGCAGAAGCCACAGGAGTGTTGCCCCACCATACGACGCCATTCCCTGGTACGGACATCAGATCTGAGCTTTTATGGCTCTTGATTTTCAAGACTACAAAACTGTGTGTGTGGAAGTTCTAGCAAAAGTATTAGTTGTGAAGTGGTGTGGGGGGATCAGGCATAAAGAATCCTAAATCCACCCCAGCTCTCAATTATACCTCCATACAGTCCAGGGTGAGCAGGGCAGAACAATTTAAATAATAAATGTCTTCCTCCCACCTTCAGCCCTAGAGTAACTGGGCAGACTTGTATGGGTAAAGCACATTAACAAATGGATAGAAATGCTCTGCTGATACAGATAAAACACTCAATTACTCAAAGTGATAAATTACTGAATTGTTTACATTTCTGTTTAAAGATTTTCTCAGCCAATTTCACAATCTGTTGTACTCCCATTTATCAATATACTTACTCAGCTGCTGAAAGATTTTTTTTCCAGCAGTGAACTAAGGCAGCCCAGGAAGATCAATGCAGGGAATAATAGGAACAGGACTTGCCCTTTATAACAATGGAAAGAAGTCCACTTAACTTCCCAGGCCACTTGATTCTCTAACAACTGCGGACAATTAAAATCTTAAACTCTGACACATACTTGATACGAGTGGGAGCTTTCTTCCCAATCCAGGTAGCAGATCTGTGACATCCAATTTAGATCAGGACCATAGAAACAAGGGCAAACAATTTAATTCTCTAAAGCTATTGAGATTCAATCTACTTCCTAGACATACAGAGAGACAGAGAGACAGACAGATTGTATTTTACTATTTGAGAAATCAGATAACCTTCAGCATCATTCTCCTTTTCCTTAGGAACCCAATTTGTGAGTGTGTGGGGGGTGTAGGGCAGGGGTGGGTTCTACTTACCTTTACTACCGGTTTGCAGCGGGGCCGTGCGCACACACTTGCTTCACGCGCATGCGCGCGCAGAAGCGTTTTCATGACATTGAGGTCAGTGGGCAGAGCCTCCCACCGGTTTTACTACCGGTTCTATAGAACCAGTGCGAACCGGGGGCAGCCAACCACTGGTGTAGTGGACAGCTGGAACACTAATAGTTCAATCACAGAAGCTAGTTTACAACTTACATAGGTTTGTGGTACAGCTACATCTCTGTACTATCAACCGAATGGGAAAAAAAGGTCTCTGGCCTCTCACTGAACACAAACAATTACTACCATTTAAAGTTTCATAGGGTTATGCTGTTATTGTTCAACCATTCAGCAATCTGACTACAAGTAGTCCTGGACCTACGACCACAATGGAGCCCAAGATTTCCATTGCTAAACAAGGCAGTTAAGTGCGTTTTGCCCCATTCTATGACCTTTTAGCCACAGTTGTTAAGTGAATCACTGGGGTTAAGGGAATAATGCAGTGTTTAAATGAATCTAGCTTGCCCCATTGACTTTGCTTGTTGGAAGCTGGATGGGAAAATTACAAAATGTGCTCACATGACCCCAGGACAGTGCAATTGTCATAAATGCATGCCAGTTGACAAGTGCCTGAATATTGATCTCATGACCCTGGGGAAATACTGCAATGGTCGGAAGTGTGAAAATGGCCATAAGTCACTTTTCATAATGCTAGTGTAAGTTTGAATGGCCGTTAAAGAAATGGTTGTAAGTCGAGGACTATCTGTATGAACACTTCTTGAAATAGATGGAAACTAATCAAGGAGAGAACCAGTCACTACTGGTTGCCCCTGGTTCGGACCGGTTCGGGGGAACCGGTAGTTCCAACCAGAGCTGGCCCTGCCCACCCAACCTGGTGCTATCACGTCCTATACAATCACCAGTTTTTCGATGCCGCACACATGCACAGAAGGCACGCTCACATCTTTGGTTCCAGGTGAACTGGTTGTTACAACTGGCAGCAGCCCACCCCTGGAGAGAACCAACCTAAAACTAAGGAGAAATTTCGTGACAGTTTACAACAATTAATAAGTGATACAACTTGTCTGCAGAAGTTGTGAATGCTCCAACACTGGAAATTTTTAAGAAGACGTTGGATAACCATTTGTCTGAAGTGGTGTAGGGTTTCCTGCCTAGGCAGGGGGTTGGACTAGAAGACCTCCAAGGTCCCTTCCAACTCTGATATTCTATTTATTTATTTATTTAGAGACCTCCAAGGTCCCTTCCAACTCTGTTTATTCTATTCTATTCTATTCTATTCTATTCTATTCTATTCTATTCTATTCTATTCTATTCTATTCTTTCAATGTTTGCTTCATTGCAGGATCTTCAGGTTGAGACCACATACAGTGGGGAAGTCGTATTTTCCTTATTCATAGATAAAACAGGGATGGCGGAATACATTTTTAAAATATTAGAGCAGAAGAAGGAGGAGGGTTGCCAAATCTTTCTTCCTGTCAACCTCCACCTTCCTGTCACCTTTAATAGTCAAACAGGCTTTGCCAAAGAATAAATAAATCATAAGTTCTTATATGTATATTTGACACTGTTATCTGGTTTGTTCCCTCTCCTCCACTCTCTGCCAAACTGCACTGCGCTCTCTCTCGCTCTCTCTCTCTCTCTCTCTCTCTCACACACACACACACACACACACACACACACACACACACACACTCTTACTCTCTCTTTTAGAGATATAGATAGATAGAGAACTTTAGAGATATCCAGCACTGATAACTCTGCTCTCAGCATGCCTTTTCCCCCCCTGATCCTAAAGAGAAAACTTCTTTGAGCTATCTTTGAGATCAGATGACCCCAGCAGAGAATCAACTTGAGCCTATCCCGTGTGATTGTCAAGCAGGCAGAAACCTGTCCGAATAATTTACTGAGCTGGGTACACAAATGACCAGGCTCAAATTATCATATTTAGGACACATTATGCAAATACTTAATTGTCTGAAGGGGTCTATAATGCTGGGAAATGTGGAAGGAAAGGGAACAAGAGGACAACCAGCAGCAAATTGGATGGACTCTGTTATAGCAGCAATGCGTATAGCACTGGAAGATCTGAAGGAACAGGTTGGGAAAAGATTAGCAACCACATAGATAGTTGTTCACCATGATGAACTGTCCCTAACCTTGTTGTTCAGGTCTTCCAACTGTGCACTCATTACTACTGTAACTTACAGTAGTCCCTCCACCATGCTATTTGTTGTACCCTTCTTCTCTTTCCTTTCACTTTTTCCCAGCATTAGAACTTTTTCCAAAGAAATAGATCTTTACATGGTGTGACTGAAGTAGGATAATGTGAGGCTGGTCATTTGTTCCTCTAATTATCATTCTGGGTTGATTTTTCCATTGATCCATTTCTTTGTTTTCTTTGCTATCCATGGTATTCTGAGAAGTCTTCTCCAACGTTTAAAACCATCAATACTTTTCCTAACCTGCTTCTTTAAAGTCCAATTTGTGCTTCCATAGACTGTTACAGGAAATACCATGGCTTTCACAATATCTTTGTAGATATAGACACATTCTGGTATCCGAATATTTTTTCCAAGGCTTTCACAATTGTTCTACCAAGTTTTGTTGTCAGTATTTGATCAATATAATTATTAGTCAGAAATACATAAAGGTGAAATCTGAGTGGAAGATTGCAGTATACTTAATATAATTTATTGGCATGGATAGAATCTAAGAGCATGTTGTAGGATCAATACCTCTGGATCAGGGGTGGGTTCTAAATTTCTTTACTACCGGTTCTGTGGGCGTGGCTTATTTTGTGGGCGTGGCTTGATGGTCATGTGACAATTCTTTAGGATTTAGCAGAGGTACTGGTCTACCAGGCTTTTAACTGCTTGCAGAGCTGTACCGGTTTACTCATTTGTTTTTGGAGGCACTGGTCTACCACTAAACTCCTTTTACCACTGATCAGCTGTAGGGTGGCCGTTTGAAGCCCCATGGCAAGAGTTTAAACAGTTTTTTTCCTTCTAGCCGATCAGCTGGGACTCAGGAGGCAGCAATAGATTGGGGGTAGGGCCAAATAAAAGGTAAGAATAACACGGGGGGCGGGGGGGCAGAACCGGTTCGGTAACGTCATATCGTCACCGCTACTGGCTCGGGGGAACCGGGCCGAACCGGGAGGAACCCCCACTGCTCTGGATCATACAAAAACATATCTGAGTTGTATTTAATAAACAACACAGTATAGAGTTAGATAGTAAAACAAATCCTAATAAACAAGACAACTGAGATTTTAAGAAATTGTAATTAAATAAATGAAGAAAGAAGCACTTTAAGTGGCCTCCTGATATGGAAAATAACTTACAGATTCTACATCTGATCTGAAAACATCTGAATGGTCACCAGATGGCAGCAAAGAGATACAGAAAAATAACTCTGGTTCTTGTACCATAAACAACAAAGAGCACAGTCCTATTATGACATCTTAAAAATAAGTCCCACTGACGTCATGTTTCTTAACCATGATATCCTCTGCCTCAACCTTCCATTAATTTTTTTACTGCAAGAGTTAGAAGTAAAAATCAAGTTACTTTGAACATTTGCAACAAAAGAAAAGAAATAAAGTAATGATTCTCATTTTAAAAATGTCCATGCTTTTCTTTTCACCAGAGAATCCAATTACAGTGCCATGATTAAATTATAAATTCTTAATGCTTCTTTTTAGGTACCGGTAATCATTTCTACCTTTGCAGAATCTATGTCCCTTAGGCAGAGCTAAGTTATTGAATCAATATAATGTTCCCTCAGCACTACCCCCATATGAGTGGAGAAGGAACAGATCACAACTGAAATAAATGAACCGAGTCTCCAAAGGCCTTCCTTTAAATTGGACTGGCTAAGGGCAGGGGGCAGATAGTTATTAGCTTAGTTAACTATTTTTAGAAGGACAAATAGAAACTG